CAAAAACGACGGCTCGCCCACCCGGCCCAAAACATGTTCCGAGGTGGATCCAGCCACAGCGACGAGAAGCCTCCATGAGGCCCACGGCGAACGAAGCACGCCAGGGGGAGCCGCCCAAGTGTCGGCGGACCCTCCCCCGCACACCGGGCTGCCACGCGCCCTGAGGATCGTCGAGAGGTAGAACCGCGAGTGGCCCAGCCAACCAGCGAGAGCCTGTCAGCATAAAAGGAACGGGCCCCGAGGGAAACGAGGAGGACGAGGAGGAGGAGGACGAAGAGGGAGAGAGAGGAGGACGAGGCGGAGGACGAGGAGGACGGGGAGACGAAGGACGAGGAGGAGGAGGAGGAGGAAGAAATAGTCGAGGGGAAGGAAGGAGGACGAGGAGGACCGCTATGCGTCCCGGGCCAATGTGTAACGCCCCCGGAGCCCGCGGAGGGCCCCCAGACCGCGAAATCCGAGAAAAACATCGGGGCCCGTGTGCCTCACGGCACCGACGAGGGCAGGCCAGGAAGAGTGGGCGTCCGCCCCGTGTCAAGGGACAACAAAGGAGGAGAAGAGGAAGGGGGATAAGAATGGGTTCAGGAGGAGAAGAGGAAGGAGGAGAAGAGGAGAAGAGGAAGAGGACAACGAAGGGACAAAAAGGGGGAAGAGTGGGTTCAGCGCAGATGGACCGAGGCACGCGCACAGGGTGCAGGGGAGTGGCAAGGGCACGCACTGAAAGGGGAAGAGGGGGGCATGGAATCTGGGAGACCTCGTGAGCCCGGCTGTGAGCTCCACACGGTCCCCTGGCCCTCACCCGACCTCTTCGTCCGACGCCTGGTGGCTCTCGGGTCATAAGCCGTGGGCGGCCGTTCGGGACGATCCAGGCACCCCCAGAAGCCCCTCGACGAGGCGCAGCTGCTAAAAAACAGCCCACGAAGAACCTGGAGGAGCCATCGAGAACTCCCCTCCCCTCCCCTCCCCCCTCCCCTCCCCCCTCCCTCCTCCCTTCTCCTTCCAGTCCTCCTCCCCTCTCGAGCGCCCCCGACGGGTGCGGAGGCCCCTCCGCCACCCCTCCACGGGCCCGCGGCTGCTGGACAGCTTTCCGAGCCGAGAGAGTCCTCGCCCCCTCCTCGGCGCCCCCGATCCCTCCTCTGAGCCTACACTGTTAGAGGAACAACTTTCGGCGGTCCTCGCGGACTTTTGTTGTGGATCGGCGCTGGACCTCGATCCCTGGCGCGCGCAGCGCCAGGGCGGCGCCGGAGGCGCCAATAGAGGGGGGCCAGCGCCGATTCGAGAAAGCCATGTGGATCTCAAAAAGGTCCTTCGATAAGTGGTTTTGGGTCTGACCAGCATTGAATTTGTCGTGCAGGATGAATCCATGTTAAATTCCGAAGCGCCAGAGTGAACCCAAAAAACATAATTGTAAGTTGCAATCCCACGCTCGCGGGATTGGAGAATTGGTAACTTCAAAATTTGAATTTTGGACTTCAAATTATACATTTTGATATAAACATATCCAGGAAAGCTCGGATTGAACAGTTGCCAATCCCCTAAGATCTTTCATGTCTGACGAGCCCAAACCAAAGGGAAAACCGCGAACCCTAAACCCTCGTAAGAAGCTTGCAGGACCCCCCCACTGTCTCGCCCGCCTGACCCATCCGGCCCGACCAGATGCGATACAACTCCGCCCTTGAATAGTTATGTTGCCCACCTGACCTGCTTGGCCACTTCGCCCCGGCACTCCCGCACAGACTCGATATGGCCTTGCACTTGAAAGTCGGATCAACCAGACTGGCGCCCCTCCCACTAGCTTTAAGTCGAGCCTGTCCCCCTACACGTGGGATTTTCGAGAAAAAATTAAAAACCCTAAAATTAGCCTGGCGAAGGACCCAACCATACGCAGTTGTGGATACAGCAATTGTGAATACCATCTTCGCCCGCGCTCCCTATGTGGCCACGGCTTCCCGCCGGAGCCCGACATGCTCAGGGACACGTTTGTGGCCGTCTTCGCGGGCGCCGACGACCACGAGGACGGCGTCCCCCTGACCGAAGAGCAGAAGCAGGAAAGGGTTCTGAGAGCCATGAGGGAGTCTGCCATTGGCGCCTTCGGTGGAGCTCCTATGGGGCCACGATCCTCATGAGGGGTGTGCCGAAATGGCCCGAGGCCGCCATGCGAACCTTGCCACTGAGGGCCTTCGGTGGAGCTCCCTATGGGGCCACGATCCTCGTGAAGGGTGTGTCGACATGGCCCGAGGCCGCCATGCGAATCCTGCCACTGGAGCCTTCGATGGAGCTCCCTATGGGGCCACGATCCTCGTGAGGGGTGTGCCGAAATAGCCCGGGGCCGCCATGCGAACGCTGCCACTGGGGCCTTCGGTGGAGCTCTCTTATGGGGCCACGATCCTCGTGAGGGGTGTGCCGAAATGGCCCGGGGCCGCCATGCGAACGCTGCCACTGAAGCCTTCGGTGGAGCTCCCTATGGGGCCACGATCCTCGTGAGGGGTGTGCCGAAATGGCCCGGGGCCGCCATGCGAACGCTGCCACTGGTGCCTTCGGTGGAGCTCCCTATGGGGCCACGATCCTCGTGAGGGGTGCGCCGAAATGGGGCGGGGCCCACATGCGAACGCTGCCACTGGAGCCTTCGGTGGAGCTCCCTATGGGGCCACGATCCTCGTGAGGGGTGCGCCAAAATGGGCCGGGGCCACCATGCGAACGCAGCCACTGGGGCCTTCGGTGGAGCTCCCTATGGGGCCACGATCCTCGTGAGGGGTGTGCCGAAATGGCCCGGGGCCGCCATGCGAACGCTGCCACTGGAGCCTCGGTGAGGGGTGCGCCAAAATGGAGCGGGGCCACTATGCGAACGCTGCCACTGGAGCCTTCGGTGGAGCTCCCTATGGGGCCACGATCCTCGTGAGGGGTGCGCCAAAATGGGGCGGGGCCCACATGCTAACGCAGCCACTGGGGCCTTCGGTGGAGCTCCCTATGGGGCCACCATCCTCGTGAGGGGTGCGCCGAAATGGGGCGGGGCCCACATGCGAACGCTGCCACTGGAGCCTTCGGTGGAGCTCCCTATGGGGCCACGATCCTCGTGAGGGGTGCGCCAAAATGGGCCGGGGCCACCATGCGAACGCAGCCACTGGAGCCTTCGGTGGAGCTCCCTATGGGGCCACGAAACGCTGTACTGGATGGGTGAAACGCAGGGAGAGGGGGGAGGAGGAGGGGGAGGAGGAGAGGAGAGCAGGAGGAGGAGGAGGAGGAGGAGAAACGCGGGGCGACGTCTTCAAAACGAGGACCCAACACCACAGGATGGTTGGGAAATAATCCAAAAATGGTCCCAAAATCGTCCGGGGACTATTTGTTGAGTATTTTTTGACCTTTTTGGAATATGTTTGGGGTATTTCTTATTTGTTGTCGAAAATCCCCCGGTAAGGGGACACGCCCGACTTAACACTAGCTCGCTCTGCCCGACTTAGCCAGACTCGAAAAAGCCGCACACTTTCAGGTCCCGCCCGCCAGAGACGCCCTGCCCGTTCGCCGAGCTCCACTCGACCCGACTCCATAAAGCCCTGCACTTCGGTGGTCTGCTGGCCCTGCCCGATCCGCTCTTCGATCGATCTCACCATCGATCTCACAATCGATCTCACTATCAATCACACAAGCGATCTCGCTAGAGATCGCATGAGCGATCTTGCGATCGATCTCATTACCGATCTCATTGAATCGATTTCAGTCTCGGTCTCACCATCGACCTTCCAATCGTCCTCACTATCGATTGCACTATCGATCTCATTATCGATCTAACAGTCGATCTCAAGATCCATGGTATCAATGTTCAAATCATCCACTGATTGGGTTTCTTTAGGTTAATAATATTATCTGTATGTATATATGCTATATATGCATACACACATCTATATATACAGATGTATACATATATATATATATATATATATATATATATATATTACACCAAAGAAAAAACCTAATCGGTGGATGGTTTTCGCTGAAGAGATCGACCGGGAACCCAGGAGCCCGAACCCAAAACCCACCGAAATCGGCCTGGTACCAATAACCGGGAACCCGGGAGCCCGGAACCGGGAACCCCGGGAACCAAGCCTACTACCAAAATCGGCGGGAAACTTTCGCCAAATCTTTCAACTTCCGCTAGGACCCCTTCAGTGCAAGCACTGATTGGGGAATATATATATATATACACATAGAGATCCACACTTTCATGTCCCGCATGCCCCGCCCTGCCCGTGCGCCCCGCCCCACCGACCACACTCGATATAGAGTTCTACACTTGAATGTCCCGCCCGCCCCGCCCCGCCTGATGATGATGCTGATGATGATGCTGATGAAGACGTTGATGATGATGATGATGATGATGATGATAATGATGGCGGTCATGATGATACTTTCTGATATGATGATAATGCTGCTGATGGTGCTGATGCTGATGATGATGACGACGACGATGACGATGACAATGAAGATGACGATGACGCTGACGATGACGCTGACGCTGACGCTGGCGCTGATGATGATGCTGCTGGTGATGATGATGATTATGATGACGATGATGATGATGATGATGTTGATGATGATGATGATGATGATGATGATGATGATGATGATGATGATGATAATGATGATGATGGTGATGCTGAAGATGACGATGACGATGCTGATGATGCTGATGATGCTGATGATGATGATTATTTCTCCAGCGCTGCTGAAATACCTGGTATTCCCTTGGTGGACCAACAGGGGGTCCTGCTGAGAGGGGGTGGTGCAATAGATGTGGGGTAATAGTATTGCAAATGGACTGCGCCAGAGAATTGTATTGCATTGCATTGCAGCCAACGCATGGCACGCGAAAATCCAGCATTACGTTTGCGCACCAGTATGTATTGCACGCCCCAGATCGACTGCAACTCCACACACCTATTGCACCAGATCCATTGCACCACCCCCTTTCAGCTGCACCCCCTTTCTGGGTCAACCAGAATCTCGTGACACGGCATCATCTTGGGAGAAGGGCAGCTGCTATGGCTCGGACCGCGACGCGCGAAGCGCGGCGGCCTTCGCGCCCCTGGGGGGCCCCCAGGAGCGCATCAGAGCCAACAGAGGGAATCGGGGGATGGGGAGGAGGAGGAAGAGGAGGAGGAGGAGGAGAAGGAGAAGGAGGAGGAGGAGGAGGTGGGCTCGCCTCAGACTCTCCGAACTGGGCGTGTGACCTCGCCCGACCAGCCTCGATCGGGCCCTGCCCTTTCACGCCCCGCTGGCCCGATCCGCCCTGCCCGCCCGCCCCGCCCCACCCGAACAGGGCTCGCCCGCCCGACTCGGCCGCTGGGGCCGCGGGAAAGACAGGAAAACGAGCACGGGAGGAGGAGGAGGAGGAGGAGGAGGAGGAGGAGGAGGAGGAGGAGGAGGAGGAGGGGAAGGCAGAGGAAGAGAACGGGGAAGAGAGCCGCCGACCCCCGCTCGCCGGGGTTCAGAAGGCCTGTGACACCTTTGGGCGGTCCTCGCCCCCTCTTCTCCCTCCCCTGGGGTCCAAAGTGCCGCTTGGAGGGGGGAGGGGGGGACAGGAGCTCACCAATACCCCTGGGGCCTCCCCTCCGGAGCCTCCAAAAAGCCCCAAGAGGGGGCCCAGGCAGAGATCGTCACAGGACGCCCGATGAGGCCCCAAGAGGGTCCCAAGAGGGCCCACGAGGGCCCTGAGACGGCCTCACAGGCCCCCAGGATGGCCCAGGAGAGCCCCAAGAAGGCCCGATAGAGAGCCTAAGTCCGAACTAACAGTTCCAGCATTTCCCCCAATTGTGGCCCCAAGAGGCCCGCCCAGAGGCCCCGGAGGCGCCCAAGAGGCCGCAAAAGGCCTCCAAGACGCACCCAAGGAGCCCCCGAGAGGCCCCCAAGAGACCCCGAAAAGCCTTCCAAGTGCACCCGAGAGCCATCCGAGACTCCCGAGGGGCATCACAGGAGGCCCTCATGTTCATTCGACAGGCCTCTGACCCACAGCCCGGGCATGGCGGTGGGTCTGGCCGAGGGCCACACACGATCCTCGCAAGCTCTGACGGACTTCTGGGGGTCGGCGGAATGGGACCCGCCACTCGGATAGACCCTGGCATGTGAAAGTTCAATTGCCAATTCGGGAATTGTTAGATTATTTAGACTACAAACCACGACAAGAAAGCACGCATCTCGGTCTACATCTTTCCTATCTTTCGACCCTTGACCCCAAGATTGCACATGTTACATGATTGTACGTATGACATGAAACACACGTCAATACACAACTCCCTAATTGAGAACATCACTGTGGTGTGTTTGGTAATCTCGATGTTAAAAATCCGAAAGACCAGATCTCCTTTCGACTTTTTCCAATGTGCTCCCGAGCCGCAGACCCAAACCAACTCACTAACACAGCGTATGCAACATGGCCCAAGGAAGATGATAATGCGATGGACGATGCTGAACAACAACCCCTCATGCGGACATCACCTGGATGGGTAGCGACATCCGGACCCTACCCCCGCCAACCATCGATTCTCCTGAATGAATGGGAGGCGGGGGTTGGGGTCGGATGTCACCACGTGTTCGACGAGTTCCGAATCCTACCACCGCCGCCCATCGAGATGCCCGAATCGTGCACCGGCGAGGGTGCTGGCCCCGCGGCAGTTTTCGGATCATGACTCCTGCCACCGGCGGCCGCTCGGGACGATCCTGGCACCCCTGGAATGCCCTCGGCGAGGCGCAGCCGCTGGAAGGCACCCCGAGGCTGGAGAGCCGCCGAGGAGCCAACGAGCACCCCGATAAACCCAGACATCCGACGTCTCGATTTTTTCGAGACGCGGGCCCCCGACCTCCCGACCACTTCCCTGGGACCGGTCTTTCATCCCGAGTCGTTTTTTGACGGTCCCGACGCCCGGCGAGGGCCCCGAGAGGCTAAAAACTATGAAAAACCTCTGTCTCGATTTTTTCGAGACGCCCGATGTCTGGGAACCTCGAGCCCCGAGGGCCCGAGCCGTGGACCGGCGAGGCCAGGCCTCGGACTCCGCCGCCGAGCCGCCTCGCCCCCCCCCCCTCTCGCGGACGCCCCCCCCCACGGGCCTGTGCCAGCGACGCGGCCTCCGACTACCTACCAAACCACCCCAACCCAACCCGAAGACCCGAATTTCGGGTTGGGGGGGGTACGGGTTCCATACGTGTTTCCTCGATGTTCCACGACCCCCCCCCACTGGAAATCGAGGATAAATTGGGGCCTTCGGGTTGGGTTGGGGTGGTTTGGTGGGTGGTGAGCCTCCGCCCCCTCCACCAGCAGCAGCGCCCGGCTCTCCCCCGCGTGCTCCACCGTCAGCCGCTTGGCGGCCAGGCCGGCCGCGGCGGCGGCCGCGCTCGCGGCCGCTGGCGGCCCCTTCATCGGAGGGCCGCGGCTCCCTGATCGTCGGAACATGTCTCGATCTTTCTATATCGCGTGTAGGCCTCCCGAGCCAGAACCCCTCGAGTCATGGAAGAGACACGGTGGGCATTGTTCGCTGCTGACGGCCTCTGCGGGGCCCTCGCCGGGCCTCGGGGCGGTCCAGAAACGACTCAGGAGGAAAAGCCGGTCCCGGTAATGGGTCCAGACCTCTGGTGTCGATCTTTAATCATGACGTCGGGGGTCGGCAACTACGCCTCCCAAATGGGGTCCGAGTTGATAGGGATCGAAGGATCGGGCCGCATCGCCGATGCATCGGCGTGTGGCTCTGTCCCACTTTGTGATCTCAGGTACCAGGCAGCGCAATCCAGGAACTCAAATCATCGCTGCTCTTACGTGTTGCCACATTTTTGGACGCCTGGAATAGATGCATAAACGATGGGCACACTGCCCAAAACCAAATGCTGTCCAACACCACCACTAGCCGCTGTTGGGCAGGCGGCCCTTTTGCCTCAAATGGACACCGCCCGCGGCGACACCGACAGCGATTTCTGCTCAGAAGGAACACGAACTGCTGTCGGGCTTTGCATCCGTTCTTCCCGTACCATTTCCGCTCGGCCAGAACAGTCAATTTCCGGAACAACCAACTATGTTGCATCCTTGTGGGGCCTGGTCTGTCCAATCGCGGCCCTATCCGCGTCGAATCGGTGTCGAATCCATGTCGGACTCGTAGGGTCCGTGCCGCACCCGTGTCGAATCCAAGTCGGATCCACGCCACATCCGCCGCAGGCAGCGAATTATGGGGACAAGCGACGTCCCCCGAAGATGCTGCGTAACACATCGGCGTCGAACCCGATCGGGTCGACCGGGACCGAACCTCTTCACCTCTTCAGACCGAGCGGATCGAGATCGGCCCTGTCGTCGGTTCCGGACGCCGCGGGGACCGTCCGGCCTGGCGCGACCCCGCGGCCTCGATGTGCCGGCCGGTTCTCCGGGCCGCTGGCGGCCTTTTCCGCCTGGAAATCGCCCGCGCCAGGGCCGCTTTGCCGCGTCGGCACGGCACAAGTGTTGGGTCGGGCGTGTCCTCCTACAGACGGATGATGGACGGAACATAACACCAGTCAACAAATAGTCCGAAACATTCAAAACATGCTCAACAATAGTAGGAACAACTCGTCCACAAAATATGTTCAAATACTCTGCTTGGATATTCCTCCTGTAGAGGGACAGGCCCGACTTCAAAAAAGACCCCTTCCTTGTCTCGTCGGCGAGCGAGGGGGGGAAACGAGAGGGGGCGGGCCTTTTCAGAAGGCTCGGAAGTCCCCTAGCCTTCTGAAAAAGTTCCGAAGCCTTCCCTGGAGGCACAGAGAACTTCTCAGAAGGCGCGAAGGCTTCTAAGAAGCCCCGCCGCCTTCTGAGGGCCTTCTTCTTCCCACTTCCCCCCTCGCTCGCCGCCGACAAACATTATCTTTCGGAGGTCCGCGCGGATTCCTTGGATCGGCGCTGAACATCCCTGGCGGCGCCTTCGGTGCCGATCCAGGAAAGCCGCGCGGACCTCCGAAGTGTGTATGCTAGTTGTCCCTGTTCTGCGTGGAGGCGGAGCGAGCCTACCGTGGGCTGCCGGGAGGGCTGCTCGGGCGAGTCGAGCCCGAGCCAAAATGGCTACACGGGCCCCCTGCCGCCGCCACCAGGGAAGAAGCAGGAGGCTGGGCCGGGGGACGGGAGGCGAGAGAAGCAGGAGGTGAAGCGACGGGGGGGGGGCCGGAGGAGCAGATGCGCGGCGGGTCTGGCGGGAGAGGCCCACCACGGCCACCTGGGGAGCTCCTGGGAAGCTGGAGCGAACAGGTCTCGGCTCTTAGATGGACAGGGTCTCCCTGCCCCCCGAGGCTAGCAGCTCTCCCCCGCCGCCGAGGAGCAGGAAGAAAGCGCGGGAGCAGGAGAAGGAGCACAAGGTACAAAATAACTAGTTACAGGAGTTGGCTGCGTCCTCAGGGCAGCAGTCAGAAAACAGACATTCAGAGGAGGTGCCAGGCGGCACGGGCAAGGAAACTGGCGTCATGACGTAGGGCAATTAGACGCCTCCTAGATGGGGTCGGAGTAGATGGGGTCGGAGGATCGCGCCGCATCGCCGATACATCGGCGATGCATCGGCGATGCATCGGCGACGTCGGCGACGCATCGGCGACGTCAGCATGGAGAAAATCGGGCTCCGCATCGAGCCGCATCGCTGATGCATCGGCGATGCGGCGATATCCTCCGACCCCATCTACTCCGACCCCATCTGGGAGGCCTAGGGCAATGGAACTGCGTCACACGGGGCTGGTGCCACAAGCCCACCCTCACACGTTGTAGCAGGGAGCACGGGGGGGGCCAGCGGGCAAGGGGGGGAGAGCGGGGGCGGTTGCCGGGGACTGCGAGGTGGCATATGCCCACACCCTGCGAAATGCTTAAGAAACCATGGGTTAAGAAATTCAGAGTCTCAGAACTTGAATAAAAACCCAAAATTTCCATTCAAATCTTAGGATTTACATTGAAACATTAAGAATAATCGAGAGTCTGGCCGAAAAAATAAGTTTTCTCAAGCATCGCCTAAGGTGTACATCACGAGCGAGCTTATCAGCCCAAGTGGCGTCAATGGGGTCGAGCGAACTTGAACTTGAGCTGCAGACCAGCGCTTCACACTTCGCCGTTTCAAGAGATCCGCGCGGACCTCCGGGAGGGATATTCGAGCGTCCTTCTCTTCTTCGGCCGGAACCAGTCCCCAGAACCCTTTTGGGGTGAACGACGCGGGGGTGGCGAAGGGCGGGGGGCGATTCAACTGCATCATGCAGCAAATGTCGTACCCCCCTCTCGAACACCCCGACCGTCCTGGGATCCTTCCTGACTAATTGCCCACGCCGCCTCGACGAGAACCTCTGGAAGCGGTCAGAACAGTCCATAAACACCCAGAACGAAGACACCTGACAAGCTGGCTTGTCAGGCCGCGCCACGTCGTCGTGGCGACGAGAACATCCAGAAACGCCTCCCAAAATCTCAAGAACGAAGACGTCGACGACGACAACAACATCGAAGCCGATGTCGAGGACGACGACGACGCTGGCTTCGACAGAGGCGGCGAGCGAATGGGCATGTCTCGATCAGTCGCGCCCGAGATGTTTCGGGAACGACCGAGTGTTCCTATCATTCCCTCGGACGTTGCGTAATTGGGGATGGTGTGGTAGCAAATGAGGGGAGACTGGTGCACCTCTCGTGCACCTGAAGGCCCTTCAGGGGCATCCTGGAGCCCCAAAAAGGGCACGCAAGGGACACGTTTCTGCGCTCTTGAGATTATTATTCGCCCCCCCCATTGAGCAACGCCCCATTCCCAGAAGACCGACGCCTGCCGGGCGCGCCCGACCGGCCGCGACTGGGCGCGCCCGCCGGCGCCGGGCACAACCGCAGCGGGCGCGCCTGGTCGCGGCAACCACTCCGGAGCCAGATCGCCGTATGTCAGACGCGCTGGCTGTCATGCAGCATGGTCCTGCTGCTTCCAGAGGAGTGTTCAGGTTCAGCGGAGGGGCCAGACATGGCTAGACGTTGTATGGTGGTATGGTGTTGCCGGCGGGGGGCTTGCTTCAAGCCCCCGCCCCCTCAGGCGCAGAAAGGCGTCGTGAGCCACCCCGAGGTGCGACCATGAAGTGGCTCCACCTTCGCCGCACTACCACATCCCCCCCTACAAGTGAACTGCAGACTACCACACACACACACGCACACTATACCAAAATCACCTCCTCCTGGAGCAGGGACACTGCACAGTGTGTGGTAGGGATTCAGGGTTACCTACGGAAGATTTAAGAACACGCCACGGGTTTATCAACAACACCGAACCTATAATCAGTATCCCCCGATCCGACGTGTGAGATTCAAAGGGCGTGGGCTTGAGCTGCGCTCTGCGGAGGGGCGATGGGGGAACTCTGCCCGCGAGGGGGGGGGGGGGCCGGGGCCGTTATGTTTGCGTCGCGCGGTCAATATCATATATGCATGTTCGTGTGCACACACCTGATTATAGATCCGTGCGTACACGATTTTGCATCCGCCCGCGACCGACCGCGACGGCGACTAGCAGCAGTCGGGCGCGATCGACCGCGGCGACCGTGCTCGACTGGGCGGGACCGACCCATGGAGCTGTTTGGTCGTTCCATATCGCGCCAGATACTTCCCAGGGGCGGATGGTCGGGGTGATAAAAAAGAGTCTTGGTGGAAACGGACCCTTAGTCCATTTGGCCTTCCCCAAAAATTCCTGGGCCGTCTCTTGACGACCTTGAAGCCCAGAAGGGTCGCCCGAGGAACAGACAGCCGCAAATGAAATGCAGGAATCAGTCCTCCAGGGCACCTTTCCTTCTTGGCGGCCTACTCCGATCGATCCCCTGACATATCCAAGGGTGCAATTTGATATGAGTTTCGAAGAAATCCCAGACGCGGCGATGAGAAGCCCCCCAGAGGCCCAACCAAACTTTCAAGTTTAGAAGGCACACAACTGCACAAGCATGAATTTCCGGAGGCCTACGCGGATCTCCGCAAGTGTGTTATGACGAATTCGACAAAACGGTTCAAAACCTCTCGAACCTCGAAACTCCAAGAGATGCGCTGAAACCAAAATCTCGGGGAGAATCTGGCCGTGACATCGAGAAGCCTCCCATAAACCCGAAACAATATCAAAACGCGTAAAAAAAACCTCTCGCACCTCGATCTAGCCCGAAGCTCGAAGAGGACCTGGTCGTGGCGAAGAGAAGCCCCCTAGGTGGATCCGTGCGGGTCCCCAAGCCCCAAACCTGGGCGAAATAACCAAATGCGACGCCCAGCCCACATCGATAAGCAATAGAAGTACCCCTAATCCTTCGGGGGGAGACCTGAGTTGGGACGGTCAGGAACATGCAGATGTGTCAGATGTGTCAGACGGCACCGCCCACATGTTTAGGGACGTTCCCCAAAACAGCCGAGGACCGAAGTTAGGCTACGACTTCACTGTGTGATTGGAGTTAGGGCCTCCTAGATGGGGTTCGACAAGATGGGGTCGGGGGGATCTCGCCGCATCGCCGATACATCGGCGATGCATCGCCGATGCATCGGCGATATCGGCCATGCATTGGCGACGTGGCGACGTCGGCTATGCATCGACGACGTCGGCGTGGAGAAAATTGGGCCCCGCATCGAGCCGCATCGCCGATGCATCGCCGATGCCTCGGCGATGCGGCGCGATCCTCCGGCCCCATTTACTCTGACCCCATCCAGGAGGCCTCGACTAAGTTAGGACAATGATGTATTGTGTTATCAGAGTTAGGGGCTGCATGATGCTCAATGACAAATCTCCGGCTCGGTCCGACAGCCACTACGGGCTGGCGCCCCGACAAGGAACGTCGGGGCGGCTCTTGCCGCGGCGGCCAGGATCTCTCCGCCCGGGGGGGGGGCAGAACAAAAAAAAATTTAAAAAAAAAAACGCAGGACACGCAGGTGACACGACGGGCCCTGGCGAGGCAGATGACGTGACGCAGGGATCGACCGAAACACTGTTTTTCGTTTTCGTTGTGTTGTCGTTATCCCTCGTTTTTCTTTGATCCGCCATTGCTGCAAAATGAGCTCGAAACGCCGGGTCCTGAGCTTAACGGGCTCTCGACCCCGACGGCTTCCCCCAGGGCCGGAGCACGAGGAGGAGGAGGAGGAGGTGGAGGCGCAGGCGGAGGAGGAGGAGGCGGAGGAGGAGGAGGAGGCGGGGGAGGAAGAGGAGGCGGAGGAATCGGAATCGGAATCGACGCTTGGGGGTGCAGCTGTCAGACACTTGCAGCTCTTATTACACCCCTGCGGGTACGCTCATAAAGAGCGCCTGTGCTCGTCGGCCCTTAGGGCTGGCGTCACAGGCCTACTGCGCCCTCTTGCCTGGGCCTAGCCAGGCGAGAAGTGCAGGTCCAGCAAGGGGGGGACCCCTGCACACATCAAAGGCGCAAAAACGCGGGAGGGGGAGGCTGCCCGAGTCGCTCTGCGAGCGCACCCCCCCCTTGTACACCCCCTGCACCCCGAGCTCGCTGCGACGACAGCGGCGGCGGCGGCGGCGGCAGGCGGGGCGGCCGTCCTGGAACTTGTGGAACGGCAGCGAAAAGACGGCGGGACGGCGAGGTGAGATAAGTCCCCTGGCACCGTGTGCCTACGCCAGAGGCGCAGCCACACCCCAGTCCATGCATACTGGCCCCCACAGGGGGCCAGCGCAGGAGCAGGGCTGGCACCAGGGCCGATCCCACTTTCGAGGGGGGGGTAAGGCGACCCACACAAGCGCGCACCGACACACACTCACGCACCACGCAAGGGGCCGCCCTAACCCCAGGGGGGGGGAGGAGGAGGAGGAGGAGGAGGAGGAGGAGGAGGAGGGAGGAGGAGGAGGAGGAGAAGGCGGAGGAGGGGGAGGAGGAGGAGAGAGGAGGGAGGAGGAGGAGGGAGGAGGAGGAGGAGGAGGAGGAGGAGGAGGAGGAGGAGGAGGAGGAGGCGGAGGCGGAGGAGGCGGAGGAGGAGGAGGAGTCCCTGGGCCCCGGGGGGGGGGGGGGCCGGGAGCCGCAGGCGGCCAAGAGCCTCTCCAGGGCCCAGCTCCCTCAGGACCCCCGGCCTCCCGGGCGTCCGACGCTGGCCTCGACGAGGCGCGAGGAGGAGGAGGAGGAGGAGGAGGAGAGGAGGAGAGGAGGAGGAGGGAGGAGGGGAGGAGGAGAGGGGAGGGAGGAGGGAGGAGGGAGAGGGGAGGGAGGAGGGAGGAGGGAGGAGGAGGGAGGAGGGAGGAGGGAGGAGGGAGGAGGGAGGAGGAGGAGGAGGAGGAGGAGGAGGAGGAGGAGGAGGAGCGTGGGGGCAGCCTTTCGCCTCCACGCGGCCCGGCTATCGGGGGCGTCCAAGGCGGGAATCAGCAGACCATGCATGGCCCGAGGCGTCAGGGCTGGGCCTAAGCGTTGTTTTCGTTGCGTGTTCGCTGTTTGTTGCTCGTTCCGCTCTGCCTGTGCTCCTGCACCTCCTGCCCTCCCAAAACGAAGGACAAGACTCAGCCGAAGTCCAGCAAAACAGCGTTCAGGTCCAGCCCAGCGAGGCGCGTGTGCAGCCGAGGGAGGGCCAGGGGACGTGTTGAAAGACGACAGGGGGGGGCCCTGCCCTGGCATCTGGGAGATTTCGCTGTCCCGGCCATGATAGCTTTAGGTCGGGCATGTCCTTCAGGCGGGTTGCGGAGGAACGATCAAAGAAATACGAAAAGACATCAAAAACAGTCAACAAATAAACAAAAATCGTCCCCAGACGATTTTTTTTGACTATTTTTGAATGGTCCTCCTATGGATGTACACGCCCGACTTCATGATCGCCACCTCCTTTTGGACACCCCAAAGAATTCGCGGGCGAAAAACACATCCGTAGCCATGGCCTCGCGGGCCGGGCTCTCCTGGGCCGCGCGCGACCCCGCGATAGGGGGCGTATTCTCGCAAATGCACCGCGCGGGCCGTAGCCGTGCGACCGCATATCTGGCCATCGCTCGGACGTCCATTTCTTGTTTTTTTTGTTTCGTGCGTGTTTTTTTCGCGAGATGATCAAGGATGCTCCTCGATGGTCCTCGCCGAAGGAAAAACGCACACGTCCGAGCGATGCCAAGATATCCGCAGGATCGCGCCCAGGAATCCACACCGCGAGGGCGTGCATCTGGATGCGCTCGCCGCTCGCAAAGAGTAACGGGCCCCAGAGCCCGAAGCCTGGCAAAAAAACGGGGGGACTCCACAAGTCATATGTTTGGACGCCCGAAATGGCAAAAGTGGGTACGCTGCCAAACAGCAGGTGTTGTCCAGAACCGAGAGCGGCCGCTGCTGGGCAGACGGCCGTCTGCCTTCCGTGGAAAACGCCTGTGGCTACACCGACAGCGAATCTGACTCAAAATGGGCAGGACCTGTTGGTGGGATGCTGATGATGATGATGACGATGGTGATGATGATGATGATGATGATGATGATGATGGTGGTGGTGGTGGTGGTGGTGGTGATGATGGTAATGGTGATGGTGATGGCGATGATGATGATGATGATGATGCTGATGATGATGATGATTCTGATTATGATGATGATGATGATGATGATGATGATGATGATGATGATGATGATGATACTTCTGATGCTGATGATGTTGATGAAATTGATATTGATGATGCTAATTATGACGATGGTGTTGATGATGATAAGGATGTGGATCATGATCAGCATCACCACCACCACCACCATCATCATCATCATCATCATAATCATAATCATCATCATCAGCATCAGCATCATGACCACCAGCATCACCATCATCTGTTGGGTATCTATTGGGCATCGTGGCCCTCGGGGATCTGCTGACCTGGACCAATCCAAACCCAGGTCAGTCAGGCCTTGCAAAATCCTGAAAGATCCTTCAAATTCCTGCGCCAAAACACGGGTTAATGATTACGGTTAATGCAAGATCCTGAAAGATCCGGCACTCTGACTGACCCCCGTTTGCATTGACTCCCGTCTCTTGAGTCCCGCAACCCCGTGCCCCGGGATAATCATCCCCAGGGGATAAGAAAGTTCGTGGCTTCGGGGGATAAGCACTTTCCTGTCAGGTAACTTGTATGTCCAGGGTGGGAATGGTGAGAACCCCGTAGCCCTGTCACACGCTCGTAATACTGTCGCAACTCAACGCCATGAGAAGATTCACAAGCTCGAGTCGCGCTCCCCCTGCGAGTATGAAGATTATGAAAGCCGGCCGCGCCGCCCCTCTCCCCCGACCCATTCTGCCATGGCCCAGGATGATCAGCTCTCAGGCGGAAGGGGGGGGATATGCTTTCTTGTCTGGGGCACGGGCTTACCCATGCCCATCTTGCCAGATATCGCCAGAGACCCGCGCCCCCCACGGCCGCGGCGGCCCGCGGCCAGCGGCGGCGGCGAGAGCGGGTCGCGCCGCTCATCTGGTCGACGCTCAGGCTGGCGAGCGCCTCGATGGCGGAGGCGCCGGCTGCTTGGACGTCTGGGGAGAGGCGGGACCCGAGGTGGATCGTGTGCTCGGCCTCGCTCGGGCGAGCGCGGGGGGATTGTGGGATTTCGAGCATAATCTCCTGCTCCTCCCATCCTCCCCCTCCTCTGCCTCCACCTCCACCCCTACCTCCTCCTCCTCCTCCTCCTCCTCCTCCTCCTCCTCAGTATCCCTCTCCTCCTCCTCCTCCTCCTCCTCCTCCTCCCCTCTCCTTCTCATTATTTTTTTTTGTTTATGTTTTTCCTCTCTCTCTCTCTCTCTCGCTCTCTCTCTCTCTCTCTCTCTCTCTCTTCCGGTTGGTCTGAGAGCGACTGCCAGGCGGGAGCACTCAACTCGGCCGAATATTATTATCCGCCACAGTGCCTCTGTCACGAAGTGGAGTACCCCAAGGCTTATGCAGCACTGAGAGGTGGACGATGTGCTGATTCTGCAACGAGACTTGTAAGGCAAGAAGGGCCAGATCAATCGAATCCCAAGGTTTCCAGGGCAGGCCCCGTGAGTTCTGAGGTGTTCCCTGCGCCTCCTGTGGACGCTGTGCCCCCCAAAGCGACCTCCAGAGCCCTCCTATGAGTCCGAGAGGGCCCCGAGTCGCCGAACTATCGCTCCAAGACGCCCACGAATGGCTTCAAGATGGCCCAAGAGACCTCCAAGACGCTACAAGAGGCCTCCCAAGAGGGCACCAATAGGCACAAATCATTGAGTTTCCTCCAAAGCTGTTTGAATGATGTTGGCGTTCTCGCCTTTTCGGCTTTCGGACGCTTGAAGATGGCCCAATAGGCCCTCGCAACCACCCCAAGACGGCGCAAGAGGCCCCAAAAGGGCCCGATGAAAGCCTAAGAGCGCACCCAAGAGGCGCCCAAGAAGGCTCAGAAGGGCCCCAAGACGGCCAGAAGAGCCCCAAGAGAAGGACCACGAACCGAAAATCCGAGCCCTCGGCCCCAAGAAACACCCAAGATACCCCAAGAGGCGCCAAAGAGGCCGTCAAGAGGCCCCAACAGGCCCTCAAGAGGCCAAAAGAGGCGCCCAAACTGCCCCCACGAGTTATCAAAACTCCCTCAAGAGACCCCCCACGAGATCCAAACGAACATCTGATAAGCTTTCTACCCACAACCCAGGCACGGTGGCGGGATGGGCCGAAAGCCGTTCGATCCGCCGCCCCCTGTGGTCTGGCCACAGGACTGCCCGATAAGCTAGATTCTATTGGTTTAGTTCCCAACGCTCCTTCGTTACGTATTCGTTTTGAATACAGCACTGCTCGCGCGTCATTCCTTCCTTCCTCCCGCCTCCCTCCTACAGCCCTCTCTCCGCCGTCGCTGGGGGGCTGCGATCTGCGATACTGTCGCCACTTTCGAGGCCTGCTGGCGGGTCTAGCGGAGTGGGGCACCGCGCAGACCTGAGGTACACTTCGCCGTCTCTGGGGGGCTGTGAACTGCGAAACTGTCGCCACTTGCGAGGGCTGCTGGTGGGTTCAGCGGAGTGAGCCACCGCGCAGACCTGAGATAGACCTCGCTGTCCCTGGAGGGGGGGCCGCGATCTGCGAAACTGTCGCAACTTCCAAGTGCTGCTGGACCTGAGCGAGACCTCGCCATCCCTGGGGGGGCTGCAATCTGCGAAATTGTCGCCACGTTCGAGGGCTGCTGGTGGGTCCAACGGAGTGAGGCTCCGCGCAGACCTGAGCGAGACCTTGCTGTCCCTGGGGGCTGGACTGCGATCGGCGAAAGTGTCGCCACTTTCGAGGGCTGCTGGTGGGCCCTGCGGAGTGAGGCACCGCGCAGACATGAGGTAGACCTCGCCGTCCCTGGGCTGCGATTTGCGCAACTGTCGCCACGTTCGAATACTGCTGGTGGGCTCATCGGAGTGAGGCTCCACGCAGACCTGAGGTAGACCTCGCCGTCCCTTGGGGGGGCTGTTATCTGCGAAACTGCCGCCACCTTCGAAGGCTGCTGGTGGGTCCAGCGGGTTGAGGCACCGCGCAGACCTGAGCGAGACCTCGCCGTCCCTGGGGGGGCTGCAATGTGCGAAACTGTCGCCACATTCGAGGGCTGCTGGTGGCTCCTGCGGAGTGAGGCTCCGCGCAGACCCGAGGTAGACCTCGCCGCCCCTGGGGGGGCTGCGATCTGCGAAACTTTCGCCACTTTCGAAGGCTGCTGGTGGGTCCTGCGGAGTGAGGCTCCACGCAGGCCTGAGGTAGACCTCGCCGTCCCTGGGGCTGCGATCTGCAAAGCTGCCGCCACTTTCGAGGGCTGCTGGTGGGCTCAGCGGCTTGAGCAACCGCGCAGACCTGAGCGAGACCTCGCCGTCCCCTGGGGGGGGCTGTTATCTGCGACACTGCCGCCACTTTCGAGGACTGCTGGTGGGTCCAGCGGCTTGAGCAACCGCGCAGACCTGAGCGAGACCTCGCCGTCCCCTGGGGGGGGGCTGTTATCTGCGACACTGCCGCCACTTTCGAGGACTGCTGGTGGGTCCAGCGGCTTGAGCAACCGCGCAGACCTGAGCGAGACCTCGCTGTCCCTGGGGGGGGGGCTGCGATCTGCGAAACTGTCGCCACTTTTGAGGACCGCGCATCCCTGAGCGAGACCTCGCCGTCCCTGAGGGGCTGCGATCTGCGAAACTGCCTCCACGTTCGAAGGCTGCTGGCGGGTCCAGCGGAGTGGAGCACCGCGCAGACCTGAGGTAGACCTCGCCGCCCCTGGGGGGCTGCGATCTGCGCAACTGTCGCCACTTTCGAATACTGCTGATGGGTCCTGCGGAGTGAGGCGCCGCGCAGATCTGAGCGAGCCCTCGCCGTCCCTGGGGGGCTGCAATCTGCGAAACTGTCGCCACTTTCGAAGGCTGCTGGTGGCTCCTGCGGAGTGAGGCTCCGCGCAGACCTGAGGTAGACCTCGCCGTCCCTGGGGGGCTGCGGTCTGCAAAACTTTCGCCACTTTCGAGGGCTGCTGGTGGGTCCTGCGGAGTGAGGCTCCACGCAGACCTGAGGTAGACCTCGCCGCCCCTGGGGGGCTGCGATCTGCAAAACTTTCGCCACTTTCGAATACTGCTGGCGGGTCCTGCGGAGTGAGGCGCCGCGCAGATCTGAGCGAGCCCTCGCCGTCCCCGGGGCTGCGATCTGCGAAACTGTCGCCACTTTCGAGGGCTGCTGGTGGGTCCTGCGGAGTGAGGCGCCGCGCAGATCTGAGCGAGCCCTCGCCGTCCCTGGGGGGGCTGCAATGTGCGAAACTGTCGCCACATTCGAGGGCTGCTGGTGGCTCCTGCGGAGTGAGGCTCCGCGCAGACCCGAGGTAGACCTCGCCGTCCCTGGGGGGGCTGCGATCTGCGAAACTTTCGCCACTTTCGAAGGCTGCTGGTGGGTCCTGCGGAGTGAGGCTCCACGCAGGCCTGAGGTAGACCTCGCCGTCCCTGGGGCTGCGATCTGCAAAGCTGCCGCCACTTTCGAGGGCTGCTGGTGGCTCCTGCGGAGTGATGCTCCGCGCAGACCTGAGGTAGACCTCGCCGTCCCTGGGGGGCTGCGATCTGCAAAACTTTCGCCACTTTCGAAGGCTGCTGGTGGGTCCTGCGGAGTGAGGCTCCACGCAGACCTGAGGTAGACCTCGCCGTCACTGGGGCTGCGATCTGCAAAACTTTCGCCACTTTCGAATACTGCTGGTGGGTCCTGCGGAGTGAGGCGCCGCGCAGATCTGAGCGAGCCCTCGCCGTCCCTGGGGCTGCGATCTGCGAAACTGTCGCCACTTTCGAGGGCTGCTGGTGGGTCCTGCGGAGTGAGGCTCCGCGCAGACCTGAGGTAGCCGTCCCTGGGGGGCTGCGATCTGCGAAACTGTCGCCACTTTCGAATACTGCTGGTGGGTCCTGCGGAGTGAGGCGCCGCACAGATCTGAGCGAGCCCTCGCCGTCAGTGGGGCTGCAATGTGCGAAACTGTCGCCACATTCGAGGGCTGCTGGTGGCTCCTGCGGAGTGAGGCTCCGCGCAGACCCGAGGTAGACCTCGCCGCCCCTGGGGGGGCTGCGATCTGCGAAACTTTCGCCACTTTCGAAGGCTGCTGGTGGGTCCTGCGGAGTGAGGCTCCACGCATGCCTGAGGTAGACCTCGCCGCCCCTGGGGCTGCGATCTGCGAAACTGTCGCCACTTTCGAATACCGCTGGTGGGTTCTGCGGAGTGAGGCGCCGCGCAGATCTGAGCGAGCCCTCGCCGTCCCTGGGGGGCTGCGATCTGCGAAACTGTCGCCACTTTCGAGGGCTACTGGTGGCTCCTGCGGAGTGAGGCTCCGCGCAGACCTGAGGTAGACCTCGCCGTCCCTGGGGGGCTGCGATCTGCGAAACTTTCGCCACATTCGAGGGCTGCTGGTGGGTCCTGCGGAGTGAGGCTCCACGCAGGCCTGAGGTAGACCTCGCCGCCCCTGGGGCTGCGATCTGCGAAACTGTCGCCACTTTCGAATACTGCTGGTGGGTCCTGCGGAGTGAGGCGCCGCGCAGATCTGAGCGAGCCCTCGCCGTCCCTGGGGGGCTGCGATCTGCGAAACTGTCGCCACTTTCGAGGGCTGCTGGTGGCTCCTGCGGAGTGAGGCTCCGCGCAAACCTGAGGTAGACCTCGCCGCCCCTGGGGGGCTGCGATCTGCAAAACGTTCGCCACTATCGAGGGCTGCTGGTGGGTCCTGCGGAGTGAGGCGCCGCGCAGACCTGAGGTAGACCTCGCCGTCCCTGGGGGCCATGTCATGGTGTTGCTGCTCCGCCGACGCTCCTTTTGGACCTTGCGTCCTCCTTAGTTACTCAAGGGTTCACTTAGTTACTCATCGTTTTTCCCTTGATTGGGGACCTGCGAATCCTCCGAATGCCGCTCGCAATAGTATATGCGTACATTTCACGTCGCCGCCTTCTCGTCAAATCTCACAAGCTACTCCTGCCCCGCTGGACCCACCAGCAGCCCTCGAAAGTGGCGACAGTTGCGCAGATCGCAGACCCCTAGGGACGGCGAGGTCCCGCTCAGGTCTGCGCGGAGCCTCACTCCGCAGGACCCACCAGCAGCCCTCGAAAGTGGCGACAGTTTCGCAGATCGCAGCCCCCCCAGGGGCGGCGAGGTCTCGCTCAGATCTGCGCGGTGCCTCTCTCCGCAGGACCCACCAGCAGCCCTCGAAAGTGGCGACAGTTGCGCAGATCGCAGCCCCCCAGGGAGGGCGAGGTCTCGCTCAAGGATGCGCGGAGCATCACTCCGCAGGACCCACCAGCAGCCTTCGAAAGTGGCGACAGTTTCGCAGATCGCAGGTCCCCCCCCAGGGGCAGCGACGTGTACCTCAGGTCTGCGCGGAACCTCACTCCGCGGGCCTACCAGCAGCCCTCGAAAGTGGCGACAGTTTCGCAGATCGCAGCCCCCCAGGTGCGGCGAAGTCTCGCTCAGGGATGCGCGGTGCCTCACTCCGCAGGACCCACCAGCAGCCCTCGAAAGTGGCGACGGTTTCGCAGATCGCAGACCTCCAGGTACGGCGAGGTCTCGCCCAGGGATGCGCGGTGCCTCACCCCGCAGGACCCACCAGTAGCCCTCGAAAGTGGTGACAGTTTCGCAGATCGCAGCCCCCCCAGGGGCGGCGAGGTCGGAGACAGACACCGCAGGCAAGATGCATACGCAGGAGAAAAGAGGGAAGCGGGAGACGGGAAGCGGGAGGCGGGAGGAGACGGAGGACGCGACCGCAGTGCTCCATTCAAAGCGACTGCCCAACCAAGGAGGGTTGGGAAAAAAAACTCCCCCTTTGGGTGTCCCGCCGGCCACCCTGAGTGGCCCGCCCGCTGCGCCACCCACGACTCCAGAAACGGCAGTTTCGCTGGGGGGCATCCTCAAACAATCGCGATCTTGGAGGTCCTAGCCCAAGACGCCTTATGATAAGAATGAGAGTCTGCCTCCACGTTCGCCCCCGAAGCCTCAAAGACGGCCAAAGACGCATTGTTTCCATTTAGGTGTTTGAAGGATGTTGGCAATTGCTTCTTCTCGGCCTCCCGACGGCCCGAGACGGCCCCCCAGATCCCCCAAGAGGCATCCAAGATGGCTCCAGAACGGCCAAAAAGGCCCCAACCACAGGAGGACCCCAAGACGGCCCAAGAGGCCTCCAAGACGCCCATGGCCTCCAAGACGGCCCTGGATCATCCTAAGAGGGCCCTGAGTCGGCCCAGAGAGGCCCCCAAGACTACTTCCGACGGCGTCAGACAAGCCAGGAGGCCATCAAGATAGCCCAATATGGATCGTCGAAGGTGGCCCAAGACGGTCCAAGAGGGCCCCAAAGAGGTCTCCAAGACGGCCCAAGAGGCCCCCAAGAGGAACTCCAGGAAGGGCCGAAGAGGCCAAAATCCATGATGTCCTCAACGTGTTTGAATGACGTGGCACGTGCTTCCTTTCGGCCTTCCGACGGCCCGAGACGGCCCAAGAGCCTTCAAAGATCGCCCCAAGATCGCCCAAGAGGCCTCCAAAGACTTCTCCAGAACTGCCCAAGAGGCCCCGGAGCCAGCCCCAAGAGGGCCCCAAGGCGGCCCAAGAGGCCCCCAAGACGCCCCAGATGGCCTCCAAGACGGCCCTGGAGCACCCCAGGGTGGCCTCAAATCGGCCCAGAGAGACCCTCTGAGACGGTTTCCGACGGCGTCAGACAGGCCAGGAATGCCCGAAGACCGCCACAGAAGCCCCCGAGAAGCCCCCAGAGGCGCCCAGGGGCCAAAGGACGCCCCCAAGATGCCCCCAAGAGGTTCCCAGGAAGCCCCCATGAGGCCCCAAGAGTGCCCCAAGAGGCTCCCCAAGACGCCCCCTCCTCCTCCTCCTCCTTCTCCTCCTCCTCCTCCTCCTCCTCCTCCTCCTCCTCTTCCTCCTCCTCCTCCTCTTCCTCCTCCTGCTCTTCCCCGCCATCCTTCCTCAAGTGTGCCCCGAAGGGTTTCTACAACGGCTGGGGGATCACATGGTCCGATAGATTGGGAGAGCTCTTGCCACAACGCTCGGCCACATGGGCGATTCCAACAGGCAGGGGGCGGCGGTGATTCGCCGTAGGCGTCCTCGATGCAGGGAAGATCCAACTCACTGGCGCAAAGATGTCAAACAGGACTGATGAGTATGACGAAGAAAAGCCCACGACACAGCAGCAGATAGTGCTGAGGCAAGCAGAAAAGCAACAGTAGTATGCATCGGTCTGGCCAAGGAGGGCAGAAGGCGGAGGTGGGAGGGAGGAAGCTTTCGTTGTTTTTCAAACGCTTCCTCGCCTCGGGGTGCCTTCCAGCAACTGCGACTCGTCGAGGGCGTGCCCTGGTTGCCCAGATCGTCCCGAGCAGCCACCGAGGGTCCGAGCTCTGACCCGAAAAACACCAAGCGTCAGACTGAGGACAAGCTCGGACGAGGACAGCTCGAGAAGCAGGCGAGACCCCAGGGGACCTCAGAGGGGTCAGGATGCGAGGCGGCAGTGAAACGTACCCCCAACGGTTTTTACCTCCGCCGTCCTCCTCCACCTCGTTGGTCGCCATCCGCCTCGTCCATAATTTTTGATTGCTCTCCTCGGCACCCTGATCCTCCACTATACCCTCCTTCTGAATCGGCCGGCTCTTTCTCGCACTACATCTCCTCTTCCCACCCTCCTCCTCCTCCTCCATCCTCTCCTCCATCCTCTTCTCCATCCTCTCCTCCTCCTCCTCCTCCTCCTCCTCCTCCTCCTTCTCCTCGCTCTCCCCCTCATCTCGCTCCCCCTCCGCCTCCCCCCCTCCTCCTCCACCTTCTCCTCCGCCTCCCCCCCCTCTCCAAGCTGCCATCCATCATCTTCCTGCTCCTGATGCTGCCCGTGATCGTCGTCGTCGTCGTCGTCGTCGTCCTCCTCCTCCGCTGTCAACGGCGTCCGGGGCCGACCCCCTCACGCCCGATCAGCGAGCGCTGGCCAGCTAGGCGCCCGGCCAGCACCAGCGTCTGGAGGCGTCGCTCAGCAGCGGCTGCCCGCCGGCTCTTTTCGCGCATCCGGAGCCACACGTGCTGGCACCGCGCGCAGAGACAGGCCGAGGCAGAGTGGAAAACCCACAGCCAGAGGGGTCGTCTCCAACCTGCGCATTCCTGCTCCTCCTCCTCCTCCTCCTCCTCCTCCTCCTCATCTCCTCCCTCTCCTCCCCTCCTCCTTCCTCCTCCTCCTCCTCCTCCTCCTCCTCCTCCTTTCATCCTCCTCCTCCTCCTCCTCCTTCTCCTCCTCCTCCTCCTCATCCTCCTCCTCCTCCTCCTCCTCCTCCTCCTCCTCCTCCTCCCTCGCCTTCTCCTTCCCCCTGCTCCTCGCTCTTCCTCTACCTCTCTGTCTTCTCGTTCTCCTCCTGCTCCCCCTGCTCGTGCTCGATCCTTCTCCTCGTTCCCCTCGTGCTCCTCCCCCCTCTTTGCATCCCGCTCCTGCTGAGACGAAGCCAGGACGAGGACACATCCGGGTGAGAATAGATAGAGAACCCCTAAGCTGCGGCGCTTCTGGGGGACGTCCTGGGCGCCGCGGCCTTCTCTGAAGGGGAACTGGGACACACAAATAAATACACACAAATAAAAAGATGCCCCATATTTTCCTATATTTTCTGGGTGTTTGTCTTCCCGCCCAATTCCAATATTTTCCCATATTTTCTGGGAGTCGACGAATAATTGTGTCTGTGTGTTTATTCCCCTCCTGATTCTCAGAGCCTTGCGGAACGCTCCCAGAGCGCTCCGGAACGCCCTGGAACGGATCTGCCCTCGCCCTGGAGCCCCGTCCGCCCTGCCCCTCCTGGTCGCCCTCGCTCCGCCCGCGCGCCTCCTCCCCTCATCCCCCCCCCTCTCCGCGCTCCCCTCTCCCCTCCCCTCCTCCCCTCTCCCCTCCTCTCCGTGCTCCCCTCTCCCCTCCCCTCCTCCCCTCTCCCCTCCCCTCCGTGCTCCCCTCCCCTCTCCCCTCCTCTCCCCTCCCCTCTGCCCCCCCTCTCCGTGCTCCCGCCGGCCTCCCTATGGGGTGCGCCCCCGGGCCCACGCGCGCCGCCGTGCCCTCGGCACGCGGGGGGGGGGGGGGGGGCGAGCAGGCCTGCCTGCGGCCCAGGCAGGGCGACGGGGGGGATCGGGTGGGGGGATGCCGGCGGCGCGCAGGGGACCTTGCGGTTAACAGCCGCACGCTCTAACCACTGAGCTACAAGGGCCTGTTTTTTAGAATTTTAGGTTCCTGATACCGCGATCCCCCGATTTCTACCGGTATTGTAGACACCAAACTGCTTCGGGTTTCGGAGCTCAAAGGGTCAGGGGGGAGGGGGGAAGCACCCTCGGAGGGAGGCTGCTTCTCAGAAGGCGCTGGCCTTCCATACTATAAGCGCGGCCCGTGCCTTCCGAGGAGCGGGGGTGCTCCTAAGAAGCCTTCCCCCCTCGCCCTACCCCCCCTATCCGCGTGGCCGACGATGGCAGGATTGGGAAGCAGCGAACATGAGGTGGGAGTCAGGCACTCCGACAATGCTGGGAGCACCAGGGCGGCGTCATCCCCGACTTTTCGAAACTCCCCCTTTCCCAGCTTCCACTCGGCGCCTAGTATACCCTCAGACTATGTTGAACATGGGCCTGCCAGGAGCTGGAGATTGGGCTCGCGCCTGATGGCAGGCTCGCGCGGGCAGCGCGCGCTGCCGAGTTGCACGGCCTCACAAGAAGGGGTGCAGGAGCGCAGAAAGTGCCATGGAGCCAGGGCGCCCAGAACACCCTTTCGTGAGCATCGTTTATCCGATCCCTACCCCCAGCGGCGTGGCCTGGGCCCCACTGGCCGATTTAGCCCCCTAGATGGGGATATAGGCTGTTCCATTCGGGTTTCGAGAGGTGTATCCCCAACTGGGGGGGAAATTTGGTGGGGGTCTCGAAGGGGATGAGGATGGGGATGGGGGTCGGTGAAACGATACCGATTTCGACCGACCCGAGCAAGGCCCCTGCAGCAGAGAGGGACAGCAAAGACGGCCCAAGACTGATGGCTCGGAGCTCCGCGCGGGCGCCTTGCCTCGGCGGGCTGCACCCCCCTCCTTTGGCGCGCGGAGCGCGCCAGTTGAAGGGGAACTGGGACACACAAACAGATACACACAAATAAAAATATCCCCCATATTTTCCCATATTTTCTGGGTTTCTGTCTTCCCCCCCACTTCCCATATTTTCCCATATTTTCTGGGAATCGCCGATTAATTGTGTCTGTGTGTTTTTTCCCCTCCTGACCAGTGGCGGTGTCGGAGGCGCTGCTCCGGGGGCCAAACGCCGGACTGAGAAATCCGCGCAGGGCTCCAACAAATCATGTCAATGCAGATTGTTCTTCGATGCAGTGCTCATAACGCCACCCGAACCAGCCTCAATATTACCCTATCCCCAACGATCTTAAACCCAAAGGCGATGAGCGGGGACAATATCATAGGTCCTCCGAGGCTGAAGGAACCCACAAGATCGGCATCGAAGTACAGTGATTCATCAAAGATCCCATGGGACCTGAACGATCTATCGAGGAGTCGTCATCGCGACTGCTCATCTGGCTGCTCCGAGCGACGCCTGGTAGCCGACGTTGCTGCCACCCACGCCTCTCGTGCCTGAACTCTGGCCTGCAGAGCCGCCATCCCTGGAATCGTTATCGGTCCAGTGGAGGAGGTAGGCAGGCTAGCATCACGAGGCGGGGGGTCCTGGGCAGCATAACAGAAAAATGCAACTCCGCGCCTCGTACACTCACTGACCGTAATCTATTCACGGTAGTGAGGATACACACCATCGCGAATTCTACGCAACGTCGTGGGAATCCCTGACACGTTCTTTTGGAAACACCCCCTTCCGAACATATGCAACCGCGTTGAATACGCTCCACACGTGGTGCAGAAAAAGAGAGGTAGGTGCTGCTCTCTCTCTCTCTCTCTCTCTCTCTCTTTAATCTACGATGCAGTGGGCCAGAGGGTGTCCCAAGAAACGGGTCTAGTACACCGCGCCGGGTCTTGCTGCGGTCCTGACAACCTAACCTGGGTCGGGCCAGGTTGTCCGAGGAAAGCTGGAGGCAGTGCAAACATCGGGCGCGCCCCTGACCGCGCTCTTGCCAGGCGTGCCAGCCTCCCGATTTCAAAACCTTCGCCTTCGGACCAACTGACTGTCGATCGACCCTCGCGGGCGGAAGGCCGCTACCGCGGTGCCAACGACCCTCGCCGACCGCAAAGATCCCGAGATATGCCTCAGGCCGGCGGCCCCCCGCCTGCTCGCGGGGCCCGACAGCCGTCACCCGAAGCTCTGCTCTCCCCCACGCGGCGGTCGGCCTCCAGGCGGGGCCCCGAGACGGGCCTCTCCGGTCGTCGTCGCTCCAGTCGTCGCCGTCCTCGTCGCCTTCGCGCTCGTCGACGTCGCCGCCGTCGCCGCCGGCGTCGTCGTCGACGCTCGTCGTTGACCTCGCCCCCTGGAACTAGAGAGAACGCCATCAACATAAACTTTTGGCGCTCCGCGCGGATTTCTTGGATCTGCGCCGGACCCCTTCCCTAGAGCGCGGAGGGCGCCAGTGGCGACGCAGCGACGACGAGGGGGCCCAGCGCAGATCCCAGAAATCCCTGTGGAGCGCCAAAAGTTTATGTTTATGGTGTTTGTTCTTCTTCGAGTCGTCGACGTTCGTCGTTGCCCTCGCCCTCGTCGCTCGTCGCCGGTCGTTCCTGCGGCCAGGCGCCGGCCGGCGCCGCCCTCGTCGTCCACGGTCGACAAGCGGACCAGCACGGAGCTCGCGGGCACGCCCGCCACGCCGCTGACCACGCCCCGCACGGCCTCCGCCGTCCTCTGGGGGGAGCGGGAGGAGGGAAGGGAGGCCCCCGACGGGGCAGCTCCTCCTCCTCCTCCTCCCCCTCCCCCTCCTCCTCCTCCTCCTCCTCCTCCTCCTCCTCCTCCTCCTCCTCCTCCTCCTCCTCCTCCTCCTCTTGGCCTCCTCCTCTTGGCCTCCTCCCCCCGCCCTCCCCTCCCTCTTCCCTCTCCTCCTGCTCCTCCTGAGAATTGAAAGCAGCAGGGTGCCGTTGCCCTAGTTGCTGTTTAAAACAACGCGCAGCGCTGTTCAAACCTTGGGAAAAGGGCCGGTGGACCACAGGACTGAAGCGGAGCTAATTAGGACGGCTGTCAGCACCCGGGGGACCACCACCACCACCACCACCAGGAGGGGGAGGGAGGTCGTCAGCGTCGTCGTCGTCCGTCCCGCCGCCCGCCAAGACGCCGCCCGCCGGAGGGAAAGGGGAGGGAAGGGAGGGAGGACCCAGGTGGGCCCCGGGCGGGGAGACCGCGTCCCCGAAGGCCCACCCGCCGAGGCCGGCGAGCGCCTGCATGATGGCGACGCCGAGGCGGCACGCCATCACCTGCAGCTGAGCCCGACGCTGAATCGAGCCCCCGGCAGCCTTAGTGATCCACCCCGTTTTCGCCGTGACGCGGGGCTGGGCCCCCCACCATGCCGGCGCGACCCGCAGATTCTCCCCGAGTTCGAGCCGACGTCCAGCAAAACGCGGGCGCTCGGCCCAGAAGTGCCGAACCGACGCCTGGGTGCGCCCGCGACCGAACGGGCAAACGCACGCGCCGCCGTGCCTGCGCGTCGGCGCGCACACGGCCCCGCCCCTCCAAACGGCGAGGAGGTTCGTCTCGTATCGGCCCAGCGATCGCCGGAACTGGGCCCACGGCGGCGCGCTCTGAACAGCCAGATCGATCTCCCCAATCCCCTCTTCGTCGTGCCGCGGCGGGGGCCCAGGCGCCGCCCTGGGGCGAAGGAGCGCCGCCCGGGCGCACTCCCGGAGAACGTGCTGACCGCGATCGGACGAGGCGTCGAAAGCCCTGCGGGGGGGGCGAGGGGTCCCAGGGTGCCGGGTTCTCGCTTCGCGGCTGTCAGCGGCGGCTGCAGCGGCGACCGCCGCCGCGGCCCGGGGGTCGAGCCCCGGGGCCGGAAGCAGCCAGACGCCTTCGGGGAGCGACCCGGCGGCGACCGGGAGCAGCCCGAACACGCCAGAATGCTCCGAGAGCGCCACCGACAACAACCGCGACGCGGGACCCCCCCGAGCCGCCTTCAGCACAGCGCACGCCGTACCGAAGACAGGGTGCAAAGAAACCCGCTCGGCGTACCAACGCCGAGCGCACCACCAGGCGCAGCGAGTCCGGACAACAGACCGAAACGTGAGCGCGATCAGATCACATGGCGGGATCGCGCAGAATGGAGCCGACCACCGGTGTTTAGGAGCGATGCACATCAGGGCCGCGAACTCCCTGGTCCGCTGCCCGCCGGGCACCGTGCGGAGCCGGCGCACCTGGGAGCGGATCTGGCCCCACCCGTCCCGAGGCTCAGGCAGCTGGGGCCAGGTCGCGGCGTCACCGACAGCGGCCCGCACTCCCAAATGTTCGGCGCTCTGGGTGCCCGACCAAACCTGCCGCTTCCTAATGTTCTCCGAAAAGCCAAGCCGCCGGTCGATTTCCGCAGTGATCGCTAAGGCACGGTCCCGATCCACCGCCGCGGCGGCCTTAATGGAACGGTCGTCCACGTAGGACCATGCGCGCGTCCTGGGCACCGAACGGATCGCGGCGTGCCAGGGGCAAAGCACCAGACTGAGGATACGGCCCGAAGAAGGGTCGCCGGGCGGCAGGCCCCGAGTAGGGTGTAAAGCAGCAGCAGTGTCCCTCCTCCTCCCAGAACTCCTCCTCGGCACCTGTGCCGCTGGGTACCCTCCCCAGGGAAATAGGCGGGTAGCAGCCCGGTCGTCACCCCTGTTTGCCCGGTTGGGCCCAGGGGGGAAAAAAATTGCTCCTTCGTGCCCGTGCCTCCCCTCGCGGCGGACCGGCACCTATACCGCGTGCGCCGGCACCTATACCGCGTGCGCCCAGGCGGGAGGCCGAGATAGTGGTGCCCCTCGGATGGCTTGGGGCGTCACGGCCAGTGAGGCGTGTCGTTATCTGAGGTTTCTGTTGCTCGCTCTCGTCAATGTCCTGCTTGTGGCACGCCTTGGAGCTGTGTAGGAACCGAGTCCACGAACGGCCGTGGTCTTCGTGATTGAAAAAGCACGCTCGCTTGCATTGGCCTCCTGCTTTGCAGTGCGCGCGTTGTCTGCCTCTTTTTCGATGCTCAGCTTCTCGCGGTGGACAATGGGCTCTGGCTCCTGCGCTCGCGGCATGCGCTTTGCATCTGGCCTTCTGGCGTACTGGTAATGTACTAGTTTTTCGAATGATTGCCATACCACTACGATGTCAGTCGGCATTGTGTAATTGGTTGTGTGCAGCTGGCGGCGTGTGTGTGTGTGTGTGTGTGCGTGTGCGTGTGCGTGTGCGTGTGCGTGTGCGTGTGCGTGTGCGTGTGCGTGTGCGTGTGCGTGTGCGTGTGCGTGTGGGTGTGGGTGTGGGTGTGGGTGTGGGTGTGTGTGTGTGTGTGCACTTCTTTTATGTTGTTTGTCAGGGGCATTTGTGTGTTCGCAGGCACGTGGGGTATAAAACTTGCTCAGTATGCCCACGTCATTGGCCCCCGAATCCCATTCCCATCCCTACATCTCCCTCTCCTCCTCCTCCTCCTCCTCCTCCTCCTCCTCCTCCTCCTCCTTCTCCTCACACCTGGCACGCCAGTCCCCGCCCGTTCACGAAACCCACCACCTCGGCCACTCCCCCTTCTGGCAGCATCCCAAAGGCTGCCCAGCGGGGGCCCCGCGGGGCGGAGCTGGACGCGCGGCAAACATCGGCGCAGGGCCAGCCGTGAGCGTGCACATCGCGCAGCTGCCGCGCGCGGTGGTAGGGTCTGCGGCGCCGCGGCCCGCACGACGGCGGTCTGCTCCTCCACCTCTAGCACTATAGTTACCCCCCCCTTCCCTGAGGGGCAACCATAGGGGGGGGACTGGCATCAGTGGGGGTGCATCGACCTGGAATCGGCGATACACCGCCGATGGATCGGCGATAGGCCTCCGAGAGTGAATCCGCACCTTCCTGGGCGGGTTGGGGCTCTCGGGCCCCTGTCGGCGATCAATGGGCGACTGGGGGTCGATGCATCCCCCCCTATGCCTATCCCCCCTATCGTTTCTCCCGATTCCCTCCTCCTCCTCGTCCTGATGCCTGATTCCTGATAACTGCAAAGTTCGTCGAACGTAGCATCCCCCCACCCGGGACCGGTCAGCCCTGGGGGGGGGGGACCAACCAGGGCCAGGTGACCCCTGGAGCACTGCTCCAGGGGTCACTGGTGGTTCTCGGTGAAGGTGATATGATGATACAGGCAGACAGATGCCGAAAGGAAGAGGGGAAGAGGAAGGAAGAGGGCCTCATAATAACGAAAACGAGAATCAAGAAAGGCGAGGCTGAACAGCGGCGCAGTGTGGGGAGGTGCACCTCCTCCTCCTCCTCCTCCTCCTCCTCCTCCGCCTCCTCCGCCTCCTCCCCCTCCTCCTCGTCCTCGTCCTCCCCCTCCCTCCCTCCTCCTCCTTCTCCTCCTCCGCTCCTCCCTCCCTCCCTCCCTCCCTCCCTCCCTCCCTCCCCCCCTCCTCCTCCTCCTCCTCCTCCTCCTCCTCCTCCTCCTCCTCCACTGAGTAGAGGCGCGTCATCTCTCCTCCTCCCCATCGCGCCTCTCCCCCTCGAGGCGCTCCCACCCTCGCCAGGGTGGAGGGTGGCTTCTCGCCTGCGAGGTTTGCGGAGGCCCTGGGGTCCTACCGCATTCGGACCGATAGAGGCCTCCCAGATGGGGTCGGAGTAGATGGGGTCGGAGGATCGCGCCGCATCGACGATGCATCGGCGATGTATCGGCGATGCATCGGCGATGCACCGGCGATGTATCGGCGCCGTCGGCATGGGGAAACACGGGCTCCGCATCGAGCCGCATCGTCGATGTATCGGCGATGCCGCGCGATCCTCCGACCCCATCTGCCCCGACCCCATCTAGGAGGCCTAGAACCGAGGGTTTGACCAAACCCAGACGTCCTCCGGGATGACTTGCTGGATACGAGGCCACAGAGCTCCCGATCCCTTCCCAGGGGGTGCCCGCTAGTCGAAAGAAGCACTCCAGATTTCGTAATAGAAGGGAGGGGGTCTGGACCCTCCAAGACGAGCCATTTCAGGCCTCCCCCGTGGGAGAACCCTCCGAAACATCGTCCCCAGATCCCCCAGGCCCTCCAAGATAGCCTGGAAGAGACCCCCCCCCGACACGAGACCCCCCTCCCTTTATTACGAAATCTGGAGTACGTGGAGACATGAAGTAGGAACTCGGACCAAGTAGATTGGGTTCGGGCCCGCCCCAGACGCCCCCCTAAGAGGCCCCAACCCAAAACGCCCCCAAGAAACCTCCCAACAACTCCCGTCCCAAGAGGCCTTCCACGCCCCTGCTCGACGCGGTCCGGACCACAGGAGCCTGCCGCGAAGCGAGAGGAGCATGCTCCAGATCTCGCGCGGCAACTCGGGACCCCAGTAGGTTTCACTGGAGTCGCTCCTGAGGCCGCCTGGGCAATGCGACTATTCGGTGCCGCGCGGGGCCCTCCGGCATTTCCCTACAGGGGGCGAAAAGGAGGGAGGAGCGAGGAGGCAACTCCCAAGAGGTCTTCGTGAAAGCAATCAAACGGCTGCTGAGCCCGACTATCAAAGATGGATGGCGCAACATCGAAGTCAGGTTGAGGCCGGATGACGCGGGACCAAGCCCGGCCCATGAAGCGGGATGATGCTCGAGCGAGAAGGTGCTCGACCGCGGATGTACCAGCGCCGATGCCGAGCTTACAGTCCCAGGAGTTGCCAGCGAGGAGAGGGGGAGAATGAATAGGGAGCCCACGAAGGACACACGCTCCCAATTATGTACATGAACACGGCCCCTCGATCGGCGAGACCCGCCGCGTGATACGAACATTCGCACAATGCGTACTCTCCAAATCAGCGTGGATTCATGTACGTCCTTTTTTCGCTCCTGAACGAAGCAGGGGGAGGAGGCGAGGGAGGCTCTTGTCGCCCGGAGAGGAGGGCAGGCAAAAAAATGGGGACGATGCTGAACAGCGAGCGCGGGCCGAAGCCGACGATTTGCCACTGCTGAGGGGGGGGGGCGCCTGTCCCAAATCGACGTCCGCGGTGACACCGGCAACGAATCCTGCTCAACGTGGGCAAGTTCTTGTTGGTTCCTTGCCCCGACACTCGCTCACACGCACACACAAACACATCAGGCGCACCATCGACTACCAAACCAACGTCGTCTGGTGGTGTGCTGTCCACGCACTGGAGAATGTGTCAGAGTACTGACTGCCGAACGGCATGCATGCATGCCCTGGGGCGGAGCTCCGCTCGCCGCACGCTGTAACGCTCTGGACGGCCAACGCTTACCGGTGGAGTGAAAACCAGTCCACTCAAAACGCATCTTGTGGGCTCGCCGTGGGACGACAAGAAGGAACAAGCACTCTTGTCGTCCCACGGTCAGCGTGGGCAGGAAGTGCTGAAACGTGGGCAGGAACTGCTGAGGGTCATTGAATGCGTCCCAGAGAACATGTGGGGAAATCGGCCCCGAGTCATGCCCGCGCGACGCGCGCTCTGCTAGGGCTCCCAACTTCGCGCTTCGCGCTGCGCGAAGCGCGAAGCGCGAATAACTTCGCGCTCTCGCGCCGCCCTCCCAAAGGGAGAATAGGAGGACGAGGAGGAGGGGGGAGAAGGAACGAGGACCGCGAAGCGCGAAGCGCGAATAACTTCGCGCCCTCGAGGGAGCCCTTGGAGAACATGTGGGGAAATCGGCCCCGAGTCATGCCCGCGCGACGCGCGCTCTGGCGCGGTCACGGGTCCTGGAGTCCGACACGAAGCCCTCGGGGTCCGACACCTGCATGCGCATGCTGTGCGAGACGACGTGCTGGACCTCGGCGGTGGAGGTTGTCGTGGACGTGCCCGACGGGCCTGCGAAATCGGCGGGAGGGGTAGTCGTCGAAACGCTGGTGTGGGTCATCGACAGGATGACGGGGTAGTCCGCTGTCGGCGACGGCGTGGGCGGCGACGTTGGCGGCGAGGTTGGTGGAGCCGTTGGGGCGGCCAGGACGGTGCTGGAGGTCGTGGTGCTGCTGGAGACGCTGACGCCAGCGTCTGTCGGGCTGACGGAGGTTCCCGTCAGCGTCGTGCTCGAGGTTGCGGTCGCCGTCGCCGTCGCCGTGGCCGACGAGACGGTCGCCGTGGTCGACGTCGCCGTCGCCGTAGCCGACGTCGCGGTGGCACTCGCCGTCGCCGACGTCGCAGTCGCCGTGGCCGACGTCGCGGTGGCACTCACCGTCGTCCTCGTGGCGGTCACGATCGCGATCTCCGGCTCCGAGACGGCCACCGACTCCTCCACCAGTTCGAGGCCCTCCTGCGCGAAGGCGGCCTGCATGGCGGCCGCCGCGCCGGCGGGGTCCGCGCTCGCATTCCCCAGTGCCTCGAAGTGCTGCTCCGCGGTCTGCTGGTCCGCGACCAGCTCGAAATCCGCCTGCCACGATGTGCTCCCGCTCGCGTTGGCCCCGCGGGCAGAGGGCGCGACCTCGGAGACGTGGACGCTCAGCTGCGCCTCGCTCACGCCATACCTCTCGGGGCGCGCAAAATTTCTGGCGGGCGGATCCGTTCCAGTTGGGTCCCACCGCCATCGTGCTACCGTACAGCCATCGTGCTATCCGCAGGCATTCCTCTACAGTCGGGGTTGATTGGAGAGGACATGCGAGAGGACACAAAACCCTTCCGAGGCCACATTGCCGTAGGAATGTAAAAAGGCATGGATCGCGAAGCTCAGGAGGCGAGGGTATCCTTGATTTGGCAGGGTCGACCTACTAGTCAGTCTCGACTATACAGACATCGTTAGAGGCCTCCCAGATAGGGTCCGAGTAGCTGGGGTCGGAGGAACGCGCCGCATCGCCAATGCATCGCCGATGCATCGGCGATGCATCGCCGATGTATCGGCGACGTCGGCGGCGTGTTGACGGCGTCGACGTGAAACAAATCGAGCTCCACATCGTGCCGCATCGGCGATGCGTCGGCGATGCATCGGTGATGCGGCGCGATCCTCTGACCCCCTCTACTCCGACCCCATCTAGGAACCCTTGGATCGTGCTGCCGTGCTGCCGTTCGATTGAAGCTCAGGACACGAGGGCACCCTTGATTTGGCAGGGTCGACCTACCAATCAGTCTCGACTGTGCAACCATCGTGCTGTGCCGTGCAACTGCACGCGAATGCAGAGCGCCACCTGCGCAACGACGGGGCGTGTCTCTGGCCGCGGCGGGCCTAAGGCCGCGCACGGGCTCCGCGGCCGTACTCTCTGGGGACCTCTGGGGGGCCCAACAGGACCTCTCCAGAGGTTGCACACATACACACACACAAACACACATACACGCGCATTCACAGGCCCAACATTCACACATACATGGGTTCCGACAGGCCCAGCATTCACACACATAGACACACATAGACACACATACAAACCTCTGGGGGTGCTGGTACCGCAACTCGACGGGCCTCTCCCAGGCGGCGCTTCGACCAGAACTTCGCAGCGAGTCCCGCGGTGGCGACGAAGGCCTCTCAGGAGGCGACCCAAAAGCGAGAACCGGGCAAGGGCAGCGGTATCCGCATACCTGTTCCTCTGATGGGAACGGCCCAAAAACCAGAGATCCTCCCGAGCCCAGAGTGGTCCTGATATCAATATCCTGACTGTCTTCCGGGCAGGGTGTAGAGAGCTCTGGGGCACGTGCATCAAAAAAGACAGCACAGCAATCGAAGTCTGGACAGGGTGGCAGGCGACGATCGAATTTCGATGCTTTTGAGCAACGTCCTGACGCTGTTCTCCAGCCTCCTCTGGCGCCCTCGCGGCCACGGCTGGATGCACCAGAGCGCGCCGCAGGAGGGGTCAGGAGGACGGGATGTTTGGGGTTGGGGGTGGGGGGGGCGCGACGGTTTGAACATACATTTCGGGGGGGGTATGATGGCTTTCGGGTCTTCAAGGCACGTGGCCACGAGGTGGGATGTCACCGCGGACGCCACAACATCCAGCGTCCCGGAGCTCTCAAAGCTAATGGAGCTGCCCACAACGTAAAGCGGCGTCGTGGTGCTCGTCAAGGTGGACGACGTCGCGCTTGACGTCAGAGTGGCCGACGACGCCGTGGCCGACATCGCAGTTGTCGACGTGATGGTGGCCGACGTCGCAGTTGCCGACATCGCAGTTGTCGAAGACGCGGTGGCCGACGTCGCAGTGGCCGACGTCGCAGTAATCGACGTCGCAGTGGCCGACGTCGCGGTGGCCGACGTCGCAGTGGCCGACGTCGTGATGAACGATGCCGTGGTGACCGACGTCGAGGCAGCCTACCGCCCCCCTTTCATCCATAGCCTCCTCCTCGTCGGTGTGATCCTCCTGCCCATGTTTCTCCTCGAGGACAGTTGTGCCGAGGGGCAAGAGAATACCAACGAGTTGAAGTGGCGCCCGCAGCCATCATGAAAGTGGTAACAGTGACGATGATACTAGGATGATGACGGCGACGAGGATGAGAACGACCATGGAGAATCAAGAGGATGGGAACGTTGAAGATGCAGATCATGAAGGTTGTAGAACACGCGCGATCGGAATGCAGACGTGGCGTATGCAAGCCACATATCGAATGAACACCCCACATATGCGTTGACTCTGTAGCATCTTGGCGCTAGGGTCGTACGCAGAGAAACAGAAGAACTGAACTTCTGAAAACCGCTTCCAAAACAAACAAAACCGTTTCACCCTGTCCGGAAACGGGTCCTGAGGAAAAAGGGGTCCTGGACACCGGAAGCGCTCTTTGGGACCAGTTCATCATCCCGAGCAGTTTTGAAAGGTTCGAAGATCCTCAGAATGCGCGTTAGCGACAACAATTGCTTGTCCACAAAAGCCCTTCAATTCGACGCAGGTGGTACAGTGAGAGCCGGCACAAGCTGCTTTCGATCGGTGGGGCTGGAGGTGGTAACGCACACTGGGCGAACACACATCAACAACTCACACACATATTGTCGGCAAGCGCAAGGGGGCGGCGCGACGAAATCCTCCAAACCGAAAGGAATTTGGAACCCCTCCGAGGCTCACACAATTGAGGGAGGCGGGGGGAGGAGGAGAGTGCCAAACATTGCAAACATCGGAGCAAGAAAACAACATCGGAGCCCTGGACCCCTCTTTCCGTGTAGGCGTCCGAACCGGATCGATCTGTGACTGCTCCCCGACCTGGAGCTGGGCGAAAACGCCCGTGGTGGAAACATTAACACGCCAGGATAAGAAGAAGAATACACCACATAAACATAAACTTTTGGCGCTCCGCGCGGATTTGTTGCATCGGAGCTGGACCCCACTCCCTAGCGCTGGCGCGCGGAGCGCGCCAGGGGCGACGCCGGAGGCGCCGCCTGGGGGGCCCAGCGCGGATCCAAGAAACCTGCGCGGAGCGCCAAAAGTTTATGTTAATGCAGTTTTTTCCTAAGGGTCGCAGGTGAGGAGCCCGCGAAGCCCCCCGCCTCGGGTGCCGGTGGCGCTTCTGGAGTGGTATTGGGCGCTGGTGCTGCAGGCGTGGTCGATGCCCCTGGGGTGGGCGCGGCGGCGGGCGGCGCGGGCGTCGGCGCCGCCCCTGGGGTGGGCGCAGCAGCGGGTGGTGCAGGCGTCGGCGGCGCCTGCGGGTAGCGCAGGGGGGGATGGCAAGAGGGGAGTCCCACCACCACCCCTCCTTCCCCTCCGGGGAAGGCCCCCCCCTACTCCTTCTCCCCTGGACCTGGACGGGACGCCCCGCGACGGATGGGAGCGTCCAGCAGGGCCTTGGCGAATCAGCTCACCGATATATAGAGGATATGAAAACACTTTCGGAGCTCCGCGCGGATTTCTTGGATCGGAGCTGGACCCCCCTCCCTGGCGCGCGGAGCGCGTCAGGGCGCCAGGGGCAGCGCCAGAGGCGCCGCCAGGGGGGCCATCGTCGATCCGAGAAATCCGCGCGGAGCTTCAACAGTTGATGTTCGTATCGTTTTTCGCAACTCGCGAAAATCACTCAATCAGCCGCCTGCAGGTCGAAAGATGTGGAATGTGGACAGTCTGGCGCCTTCCGGCGCCGGAGGGGCCAGTGTCTCGAGGCGGGCGCTCAACGGCAGCGGGGCCGACGCCAACCGCGCGCGGCAGACAGGGTCTGGGAGGGCCTCGAATGGGCTCGGTGCACACTCGACGTCGAACGGCCAGCGAATCCGGCTAAGGACCTCAGTGTGCAGGTAGACCCTCCAGCATCCCACAGGTTGGGGAGCTGGGGCGTCGATACACCCTGAAATTCGGCGGCGCGAAAAAGTTGAAACATTGTGAAGCATCAAGACTGGCGCCCTACACACCACCTTTCTGCCGCATTTTTCTAACGATCCCTAAAGGCCCGACGGCCCGGAACCTGACGAAAACGTCATGCTCGGAAAAACTCAGACGCCAGGATCTCAGGGCACCGAGCCCCTTGGCCGACCAGGACGATCTGGTGCGCACGCTCAACTGGACTCGAACTTCTCCCTGTTCCTACGATCGGCAAGCGAAACGCGATGACAGTCTTGGGGATGAGCCCTCACAAGCTGAATGAATCCTTACGATCGGCACCGAGGTAAGGTGATACCAGACATGGGCATAGGGATATGTTCCAGACTGGTAAGCGTCGAGCCCCTCGCAGGCCGTCGGCCCTGCCCCCGGGCTTGGGCGCGGCCGCGGGCGGCGCGGGCGTCTGCGGTGTGCCTCCGGGGCGCGGACCTGGCGTCGCGATTTTCCACCCCGCGATGTCGCCCTACCTCGGGCCCGTGGGACCCTCGTAGATCGGCCCAGGCCTGAAACATGCGGCAGACAGAAGGATCTGGAACTCCGCTGGTGATTTTTACATATCTCCTGGCATGAAGCTGCGCGGGAAGGTGTCGCGTGAGCAGACTTGGCTGAATACTTCCTAGCAGACTTGACTGAATACTTCCTGGACTTCTGCACGTGAGCAGGTGCGCCGCTCGCTTCCTGCGTGCAGTATCTGGTGCTTCCTCCACCTCCTTCCTCTTGCTTCTCTGAGCTGTGCACTGGCGCCTGCGTTTCCCTCGCTCCCTTTATGGACCCGCCCTCGTGCGGGCGGGGTGGAAGAAGGAATGAATGCGCAGTGGACCCAGACCGTCTCGCGTCGTGAAGAAACACACCACGGACTGGCTTTGCCAACTTTCCCCCCCTCGCGGGCCATTGCCAGGCCCCTGGTGCCGTCAGAGAGGACCCGGTGTCAAAGACCGGTCTCCGGGCAGGCGCCCAGACCTCTGGGGAGCCACATTGCGAAACATCGACAGGTCTGATGTCCGGAGAGGTGGATCGAGCCGTGGCTGGTTGCGCACAACAGACGACATGCACATAAACAGTCGGTGGCCTGCGCGAAGCTCCGAAAGTGGCTTGTGCTTCTGCAGTTTCTTCGATCGGGACGTCCTGGACTAGTCCTCCAGCGGGCGGGTTTTGGACGTAAAGTGAGAAATAGTCCAACATGCTCCAACACGTTCTCAAACATACAAAAAAAATAGTCCCAGACGATCTGTTCGAATATACCTTCTGTAGAGGGACACGCCCGATCTAAGACTTCTTGTGGAGATCGCCCTAGAGGGCACACGTCGGGGATCTTCTGACCCGGGTCAATCCAGACCCGGGTCAGCGGGAAAC